GGATGGATGGATGGATGGATGGATGGATGGATGGATGGATGGATAGACTCTGTGAGCTGCTGAGAGAACCAGATCCTGGCAGCTGGGCTCTAGACTTGCCTCTTGGGGAAAAGAAGCAGAAAGAGTCTGGATCTCCTTTGGCCTTTACCTTCACTTAGGCCTTGGGCTTGGTCTTAGAGTCTAGTGAACAGCTGAGAGAGGCATCACCAAGCTGATCTGATCCTAACAGAGGTTTCCTAATTATAGACAGAAAGCTAGAAGGATTTTCAGAGGTCATCTAATCCAACCCCCTTATCAGATGGGTGAGAGAACTGGGCCATGGAGACTGACCCTAGGCCACACAGGTAGACAGGTTTTGAGGTCAAAATGGAACCCAGGTCATCTGACCCTAGAGCCTGGCCTCTGGCCACAGCTTTTTCTCTTTTCCTTGTGATGGCATTTATTCAAAGGAGGTGCTATGATCATAGGCTGAGGTTGCAGAGGGATTTCAGAGTCCTGGGTGATTTGCCCTGGGCCACCTAGGGAATCAGGTGCTTGACCTGCCTTGAAGGTCTCCACCTGCTCCCATTCCCTTTGCTTTCCCGTGAGGAAGGTCCCACAAGGCTGGCGGTTTGGGCCTTGCCTTGCCTCTTTGCCTCAAGCCTACAAAGGAGTCCTTGCTAGAGATAAATAGAAGCAGATCTGGAAATCCACTGACTCGCTTGTTTTCTGTCCATCCCTCCCTTCCCTGGTACAAGCCAAGACTCTAAAGTTGTGAGTGAGTGAGTCATCAGAGAAATAGATGACAACCTTGTCTGTGACCCATGACACTTCATGTCAGTGAATAGAGAGTGGAAAGGAGAAAGAAAGACAGAAAGAGAAGGAAAGAAAGGGAGAGAGGCAAGGGAAGGAGAGAGACAGAGAATGAGACAGAGACAGAAAGGGAGAAACACAGAAAGGGGGAGAGAGAAAGAAAGATACAGAGAAAGAGAGAGAGGGACATAAAGGGGAATTGGGTGGGTGGAAGGGGAATTCCAATTCTAGAGGTATCTGGAGGCCTTGGCTCGGACAAGATAATGCAAATGCTAGCTTTCAGAGCTGGGGACCTAGAGTGGACAGGATATAAAGAGTTGGTGACATGGCGTAAAGTCTGGGAAGAACAATTAATGCCAGAAAGTCTTGACCCAGGAGGCAATGGAGCCCCGGAAAATTTTGAGCAGAGGAAAGGCATGACCAGATTTATTTAATGGGATTATATGCCCCACATGTAAATAATCAGGCTACAAATATAAATAGGAAACAAGACCTTTGGAAGAGCCAGGGCCTAGATCCCAGGTCTGCACTAGAGAGATTATGATACAATGGCGACCACTGGATTTGAATAAAACACCTCTTCAGACACCTCCTTTCTCAGTGACTGCCTGTGTGGCCTTGAGCAAAGTATTTTCCTTTGCTGGGACTCAGCTTTCTCATTTGTAAAAGAAGGGTTGGTCCCCATGACTTCTAAGGACATCCCTGAATCTATCCTAGGCAGGCTGGGTAGGCTCTGCCCTGGGCCCTGCTGGAGCTAGCTCTAACTCCTTCTGAGATGACTGTTTTATTTTCATTGTGAGTTGATGCCTCAGAGACCCACAAATCAGGGCTTGACTGATTGCTTTGTTGATTGGCTAGACTTAAGAAAGTCTGAATAATGCAGATTAAACTTAAAAGTGTGTATATACATTTACACCCCCCCCAAAAAAAACAAAAACAACCAGAGCCTGGTTGTTAAACATTTACCACCACACCCCTGTACTGCTCTAAAAACAATGCTTGAGCACAGCAGAAATTCAGTAGAAGGCTCGATGAATGCAATCATCCCCAAGCTGGAAGCTAACAGTAATAGCAAAAGTAACTGACATTTCTATGAAACGTTAATGTTTGCTTTACATCTCTTACCCGTGCCTCTTGGTTCAAAGACCTTCTCCCCAGGCCTTTCTAAGGACTCTGTCCTCTCTTTCCTTTGTCCAGCCAACAGGAAACCAAGGATCATCCACGCTGCCCTGGCCCTCTTGGTTCTGGCCCTGGCTGTTGCCCTCTCAGCTGTAACTTATCTGTGTGAGTTACCCGTCCTCACCATTCCCCACCCCCACCTACAGGGCTCTGACCCTCATTTTCTCATTAGATGGGGAGAAAAGAGCAGAGAAAACCCTGAGAGGGAGAAGAGTCTATGGTCTAAACCAGGGGCTCTTAGCCTCTTTTATGTGACCCACAGGAAAGGCTGATGAAGTTTATGGCCCCTTTCTCAGAGTAATATTTTAAGACACATGATGAAAAAATGCTATCTGCCTCCAGAGAGAGAACTGATGAACTCTGATGTAAATTAAAGTCTACTTCTCTCACTTTTTTTGGCCTTTTTTTGCAATATGGAAATACTTTTTACATGACTTAACATGTATAATTGATATATCACTTGCCTTCTCAGTGGGTAGGGGAGAGGTGGGAGGTAAGGAGAGAATTTGGAACTCAAAATTTAAAAAGAAAAGAACATTTAAAATAAATAATATTTCAAAAGATTCATATTTAAATATACAAAATAGAATACATAAGGTTACAAAGAAAACCAATTACATTGAAATATGTGGTGGGGGAGGGGTTCTCCAATTCAGCTTTTTAATTTGCGTTTCTACATATACTGAAGATGAAAGACAAAAGCTTATGCTCATAGGGTGCTGGACCAGATGGCCTCTGGGGTCATCCCAGCTCCATATCTTCCATCCTCCTTGGCCCTGTGGCCCAGTAAAATTAAGTATAAGGGACTTGTCCAAGGTCACAACATCAGGATGTGTCAGAGGCAAGGCCAGGGCCCAGGACTTCCTGACTCTGAAGCTGTATCTGTAACCATTATCCTTGGGTACCCATGCATCACCCTAGACAGGGGTGGAGAACAACAGTTTTCAAAGTATGGTCTAGGGGTCTGTAAGGTAAAAACAATTTTCATAATGATACTAAGATGTTTTAATTCCACAAATAGTAAATATTGATAGATATATTCAGGAGAGTGCTGGAACCAGCTCATTTAGGCTGGAAAAAGCCAGCCATTAAATTTTCATTCTGAGCATTAATATCTCAGAAATCAGCAAGTGCTACAAATGAGGATTAATTTATTGTTTTGTTGGATGTCTAGACTTAAGAAAGTGATAGTGAAAAGGTTAATAATGGAGATTAAACTTAAAAGTATATCACATGTACATTTTTTCCCAGAAAACCAGTTGTTAAACATTTTTCAGCACCCTATTGGATATACAAAAACTCTTTGGGGTCCCCAATGATTTTGAAGAGCCCAAAGGGGTCTTGATACCAATAAGAAACACTGATCTAGAATAGATGAGAAGTCTTCCTGCAATGTTTCATGGCACGTAGAACCAAAGTCTTCCCAGGCTGTGTCCACACAGCACAAACTGGGACAAGTGCTTCCAATCTGGTAGGACCTTGAGTGGGGGCTAGATGAAGGACAATGTGTCTCTATCCCGATTCCAGGCTAGCTAATGAGCCTGGGAGGTGGGGGGGGGAGAGGAATGAGGTCATCCCCAGAGAATTTCACACTAGAGGAAGAGGAAGAGCTATCTGGACACAGGAGCTCAAAGCAGAGACCGCCACAGAGTGCAGGAGGTATCACCAAAACCTAACCATAGTCCTTAGAACAGTGGAAAGAGCATTGGCTTTGGAGGTGGAGGACCTTAGTTCAAATCCTGCCTTTGATGCTTTTTTTTTTTTTTAAGTTGTGTGTCTCTGGGCAAACCACTTAACCTTAGTATCCTCATCTGTACAATAGGAATCATAGTGGCTGTAATCCCCAACTTCCTCAGTCCTTGTGAAACGCAAATGAAATATTGACATAGAAGCCCCACAATACCAGACCTGGGCACCTGAGCTTCTCTTTAATTCCCTAATCCTTTGGTTCTAGATCTCCAAGTGAAAACTGCTGACATGATTTCAGATGCACTCCTGTGGAAAGCTCGTTTTGAGAGAGTCAATGCCTCCATCGCAGCCCTAAGGGGCCAAAATGGTGAGTTCCCTCACACGTCCAGCCTTGACGCTGACCCTCATTCCCACTCCAGGTCTCCCGGAGGGATGTCTGCCAGATTCCTGTGCTGGGGGTTTCATGACCATCCCTCATTCTGGTTAGGTTACTCCTCCTTCCTAAGGCACCCAGTGCCCTCTCTCTGCCCAGGGAGAAGTCAAGGGAGCTCTGATCAGGCTCCAGCTCACACACACCAAGCTTTGGTCAATCCCCTGTGCCCAAACCTCTTAAAGCTAGAAGTTAGGGCTGAAATATGCCCTGTTCCTGCCTCATTTTTACTCCTCTTTTCTTCCCAAGAAATCCTAATGCAGCGACTATCAGAGATTTACACTGTCTATAAGGGAAGTCTCTATTACTTTTCCTGTACTGAAAAGCCCTGGGTTGATGCTGAGCTGACCTGTGTGTCAAAAGGCTCTCACCTGACCTCAGTGACCTCAGTGGATGAGCAGGTCAGTGCCATTGGGGGTGGGGGGCCTAAGAATGGGAGGCAGAGATCTCAGTAAGTTGTGTTTGTGAGTAAACCACTTCACTTTTGTACTGGCCAAATCTTAGGTTCATTAGTAATAATAATGGTTATCATTTGCAAGCTTTTATCTCCTTTTATCCTCACATCACCCCTGGAAGGTATGTGTTATTATTATCCCCTTACAGATAAGGAAACTGAGGTAGATAGAGGTTAAATGACTTTCGCAGTATCTGAGGTAGGGTTTGAACTCAGGTCTTCCTGACCCCAGGTCAGAGACACAGTCTCTCACACACAGAGCTCATCAAAATACAGGGCTAAGTGATAGCACATATAGAGGCAAAGTGTCCAAAACTAGGCAGGTGATACTGTCCCTCAATGTCCTCTACCCTGGTCAGATCACATGTGGAATACCGGATTCCATTTTGGGCACCTCAGTTTAAGAAGGTAATAAGCTGGGGCATGATTGGGAAGTTGAGGGACCTAGAATTCATGCCATGTAAGAATCTGCTGAAGGAAGAGGGAATATTTATTGTGGAAGAGACTCAAAGCGACGTAAAGGCTTTCTGCAAGTATTTGAAAGGGGAAAGAGGGATCCTTGTTCCACTTGGCACTAGAGGGGAGAACCGAGAGTCATGCAGAGAAGTTTCAGAGAGACCAACTTAGGCTTAAGGTAGGAGAGAGCGCCTGATGATGAGAGCTGCCCCACATTGGAATGGGCTGCCTTGGGAAGGAGGGGGCAAAGCTGGCAGACCACTTGTCTGTCAGGGGTCTCGTAGAGGGGATGCATTTTCAGGCTACATGGTCCCTCAGGTGTCTGAGACTGACTTTGTGAATCACTGGACAAAAGATATGAAGGATGTTTAAACCCAACCATCTGTCCCCAGGACAGATAAGAATAAACAGAGAGGGTTGTGACAGCTCTCTGGGGTCAGAGGCTCTATTTATGGACTTATCTGTCATCTCAGCTATTTCTGTCTACATGTCTCCTTCCCCTTCCCTCCGAGGAAAGGGGCCCACTCTAACTAGACTGCATCAACCTCTCTAAGCTTCCATTTCTTCATCTGGAAAATGGGGATAATTGTATTTGTGGGTACTACTTATCTCCCAAGATTGTTGTGGAAAAAGCAGTCTGTAAACTTGGAGGTGCCATATTGAATGAATGAAAAAAGCACAAGGAGTTCCCTATGTGCCAAGCAAATAGAAAAGGAAGACAGCCCTGCCCTCATGGAGCTCCCATTCTAATGTAAACAGACAACATACATGGGAGGTTTCAACTGCAAGTTTCACTCCCCGGCCCTCACACCCATCCCCTCACTCTCCTCTTCATTCCCAGCTTCTCTATTGAATCTTTCTCTACTGCCTAGCTGTGCCAAGGTCTCCCAAATTCTTACAAATCTTTACTTGACTATCAGTCTTCAACCTATAGACCTACATCTCTTCCTCCCTGCACAAACACAATTCTGGGAAAATCTGTCAATCAATCAACCAACATGCATTTATTAAATTTCCACTTTTTGTCAGACACTGTGCTAAGCAGTGGGGATAAAATATGAAGAATAAAATAATTCTTGGCCTCAAGAAGCTTATGCTCTAATGGGGGGGAACCATATATAGGTAAGGATATTGAAAATCCATATAAAAAGAATGAATAAAAATAATTACAAGATAGCTAATTACAAGATAGCACGGAAGAGAAGGTCTTAGCATTTGGGGCATCAGGAAAGTTCTCATGGAGAAGGCGATGTTTAAGCTTCATCTTGAAGCAACTGGGGGATTCTATAATGCCAAGGGGAGGTGAGAGGGCATTCCAGGAATGGAAGACCACCAGTACAAAGTCCCTCCAAGATAGGAGATAGAACATCATATTGGTGGAGCAGAGAAAGGATTTGGTTGGATCACAAGATGCAGGAGAGGTATGGCTATCCAATGAGGTTAGAAAAATAGATGGGAACCAGGTTGTTAAGCTACACAGAGGGGTCTATGCTTGATCCTAGAGGCAATAAAGAGCTGGATTTTATTGAGTAGGGGAGTGACATGGTCATATCTATGCCTAAGGAAAATTGTTTCGTCCATGGTGAGAAGGGTGGCTTGCAGTCAGAGATACTTGAGGTGTGGAAACCAATTAGAAGGCAGCTGCAATAGTTCTAGACAGTACATAATGAGGATCTGAACAGAGAGGTTAACTGTGGAGACAATGACGGTCAGATGTGAGAACTGTGGTGGTGGAAATGGCATAATTTAGTAACTGGTTGGATATGTGGACTGAGAAGACAAGGATAATGCCAATATTACCAACATGGGAGGGTGGGAAACTGGTGGTACCTTTGACAGAAGGGAACAATAAGGCATACTGTTCTAGACATGTTGAGTTTAAGATGTTCCCAAGACACTCTGTTCAAAATATCTAATAGACAATTGGTGGTATATGACTAAAGCTCTGAACGGGATGGATATGCAGATCTGCGAGTCATTTGTATAGAGATTCTCATTAAGCCAGTGAGACAGAGACAAAGAGAGAAACAGAGAGAGAAAGAGACAGAAGCAGAGAAAGAAACAGAGAGAGAAGGAAGGAAACAGGCAGAAAGCTTAGGGGGAACATTCATAGTTAGGGAGTGTGATATGGATGATATGCTCACAAAGGAGATGGAGTTGTCAGACAGATAATAGGAGAACCGAGAGAGTAGCATAATGAAAATTCAGAAAAGAAAAAGTATCCAAAGGAGATATGCTTAACCAGTCTCAAATATAACAAATACATCAAGAAGAGTGAGGACTGAATAAAAACCATCAGATATGATAATTAAGAGATCACTGGTAACTTTGATGAGAAGTATTTCAGTAAGTTGCTGAAGCTAGATTGTCAAGGGTTGAGGAGTGAAGGGAAAGACAGTGGAATAACTAAGTGTAGACAGCTTTTTCTAAGTGTTTGAGAAAAGGAAAAAAGATATAGAATGACAACTTGAAGAAATGGTGGGGTCTAGTGAAGGATTTTTAAGGATAGTAAGATTTGGGCAGTAGATAAGGAACCAATAGATACGTAGGAAAGGGTTGAAGACACAAGAAAGAGAGTGTGTAAGAGTTTATGACATACTGAAGACAGTGATGATGAGCTCAAGAACACTTGAAGAGAGCTTGGCATTGGTAAGGAGGACCTCCATATGCCTTCCACCTAATGCCTCTATTTCAGGTCCTCTCTCTTCTCAACCTCTCATAGCCTGGCTTCCAACTTCATCTCCCAACTGAACCTGCTCTTTCCAAGGATACCAAAGATCTCTTCATTGCCCAATCTAATGGTCTTTTCTCAGTCCTCATTTTTCTTTACCCCTCTGCAGTTTTTGACTCTTCAGACCACCTCTTCTTCCTGTATACACTCTCCTCCTTGAATTCTCGTGACACCGGCTCCCCTTTAAAATCTCTGACTGCTCCTTTACTGGATTACTCTCCATATCCCACCTCCTAAGCCCAACTGGCCTCCAAAAATCCATCCAGAGTCCTTTTCTCTCTCTGCATTCTCTCTCAGTGACCTCATCAGCTCCCATGGTTTAATTATTATCCCTATGTACATAATCTCCAATCTACGTATCTAGTCATAATCTTCTCAGTCCTACATCACTAACTGCCTACTGGATATCATGAACTAAATGTGCCAAAGGCATCTCCAATCCAACATCCCAAAACAGAGCCCTCAAACCATCCCTCCATCTCTCTGGACTAAGTCCAAAAATGTAATTTTGTATTTTAAGTCCATAATCTCTCTGGCAGGAAGCATGTGACATGATTAACCTTCAGTCTTGTGAACGTCATGGCTTATCACTGTATTAATCAGACAGCTAAAGTTTTTCAAAGTTGTTTTTCTCTCTAATGATGTTATCATTGCAATCTCCAGATTGTTCTAGCTCCGCTCACTTCACTCTGCCTCAATTCATAGAAGTTATCCCTGTTTCCTCCGAAACTGTCCATTTTGTCATTTCTTGTGGCATAGTAATATCACATTTCATTCATATACAATCGTTTGTTTAGCCTTTCCCCGGTAAGTGAGCACCAACTTGGTTTCTAGTTTGTAGCTACCACAAAAAGATTTGTTAAATATATTTGATACATAGGGAAGCTATAGATTCTATGTGGTAGGAGTGAGGGGAAAGGGCATTCCAGTCAGGAGACAGCCAATGCAAAGGTTCAGAGAGAGGAACTGTAATGTAATATGTGAAAAACAATAGAACGATGAAACAGCTGGATCCATGAAAGATGTAATAGATATAAGGCTGAAAAAGCAGGTTGGAGTCAGGTGGTAAAAGGCTTAAATTCCAAAGAGAGGATCATAGGTTTAGAGCTGGAAGGCAACTCAGAGGCCATCTAGACTAACCCCCTCATTTTACAGATGAGGAAACTGAGTCCCAGGAAAGTTAAGTGACTTGCTTGAAGTCCCAGAGTTTGTGTTTGACCCTAGAGGTACGAGAGAGCTATTGAAATTTATTGACCAGGGAAATGGTTTGGTCAGATTTGTGTATGAAACACACACACACACACACACACACACACACACACACACACACACACA